ACTCATCCTGTCAAACGCCTTATTGATGCAGAAATCTCCAACTCTCCTCCAAATCATCTATCCCCAATTCACAGTATTTTTGATAAACATTTGTTTAACGACTACGATCTCCCAACCATTGAAACCATTTATCCCCATATCATCAACCCATGGGAAAACTTTTCACTCCCCATCTCAAATCTAAAAATCAAAAAAGAAGAAATCAAACCGATAGTCCAACTTCAAATCAACGAACTCAAAAACAAATCTGAACATCTCATCTTTTCAGATGGTTCCAATATCCCAGAAAATGGCTCCGCTTCCGCTGCCATTTTGGACAACTCCTTTTCTTTCTCATGCCGGATCAACGACTCAAACAAAGCATCGGCTTTCGAAGCTGAAGTTCAAGCCGTCAACATCGGTCTCGACATCTTTATCAACAAATACTTGAACTCAACCTCCAACTCTACATCCACTCCTCCAATCAATTTCTTTATTGATAATCAAGCTACTCTTTTTTCAATCGCCAATCCTCCTCTTCCAAAATCTTATCAATCTAATTTCTTGAACATCTTCAACAAATTCAAAATCATCATCGATTCTTGCCATATTCCCATCTCTCTCTTCTGGTGCCCGGCGCACGTAGGAATCATCGAAAACGAAATAGTCGATGAATTAGCTAAAGCCGCTACAGTCTCCACTCATCCTCATCATCTCAACAATCCAACAAGATCATTATCCAATATCCAACAAATCGCAAAATCCAATTTCAAATTCAAGAAATTCAAGAAAACCATCGTCAGAAACAAGATACGACTCTCCTCTCCTCCTCTCAAAATTTTCGAAGTACTAGATCAACTTGAACGTAGCGTTGGTTCCATCATTTACCAACTCCGATCAGGCCATTGTCCACTCAACAGCTATCTATTTTTCATCAAAAAAATCGATTCACCAAATTGCGCCTTTTGTCATTCACCGGAAGACGTCAAGCACTATCTCATCTATTGTTCAAAGTTTGATTCACAACGAAAATCCTTCAGAAGATCAATCACATCCGAAAAAATAAAAATCAACGTCAACTCTATCAAAAGTCTCCTCGATTCGCCAAAATGTTTCAAACTTCTCTCAGATTTCATCATCAACACACATCGATTTAAGAATTTAAAACATTATTTAGAGAAAGAAGATTAAAAAAAAAAAATATAAATAAAATAAATAAAAATAAAATAAAAATAAATAAAATAAAATAATTCCTTCAACATTTCAAGTTATCACTTTCTTTGGTTAAAAGTCATCATTTTCTTTGGTTAAAAGTCATCATTTTCTTTGGTTAAAAGTCATCATTTTCTTTGGTTAAAAGTCATCACTTTCTTTGGTTAAAAGTTATAAATTTCTTTGATCAAAAAGTCATCAATTTCTTCGGTTAAAAGTCATCAAAACTCGCGAGTCAAAAGTTATCATTCTCATTAAAATCAACAGATTATCTCTATCGGAAGGGTTGCTAGGCTGGATACAAGAGTTGGTTGGATAGGTTCGGCTTCTTCCTGCTTACAAAACGAAGGTTTGTGGTTTAGGGCACCACAAAATACTCTGCCTGGTCAGCAGAGTATGGGAAGTCGGATTTGTTCGGCCTTCCCTATTTTTAGACCTAATCAAAAGAGACGGACTTTCTTTTTTATCTTTTCTTATTTCTCTTCTCTTTTCTTTTTCATTTATTTTTTATCATCGTGACAGTCAAAATCACTCAGAATCATCAACACAGTAAAATAAAACACTATTAAATAAGTAGTATTCTCTTCTACATAGATTAAAAACGTCATTGCATGTATTCTTATAAAAATTTGATTTCCTCAGTGCGCAATGTTAAATTCGATTAGCACTAAAAAAAAAAAAAAAAAAAAAAAAAAAAAAAAACACATGGGCCAAAAAACTCAACTACTCAGGCCCCACTCTGATCGCCGGTTACGGTATCCGCTGGAATATCAAGTTTGAGAGCCGTGAGCGAGGGTATATTGCAAGGAACGTAATCAACAAACTGATCGAGAACGAGCAAGACCGACAAGAACATGAGGGAGGCAAGAACCACTTCAATGAATATGAAATCACACGAAGCGACTGGGACATTGTCAAGAAATTGAATGATATCATCAGTGTAAGTGTTTCCTCGTCATTTCCAAGATTACTTTCATTTCAGTATCTAATTACCTATGAAATCAATATTTTTCTATACATCATCAACAGGAATTCTATTACATCACTAAGAAGATGGAGGGCGACATCACATTGGCTTCAATGGTCCTTGCAAAATACCGACTCCTGCGGCAATACCTCGAGGGCAAGCTCAGCACCATCACCGAGGAAGAATTCAAGAACATGATCAACACCATGCTCAAAAAAATCGACACCTACGTCAACAAGGCTCTTGCATGCGATGCCATTCTTCTCGCCACAGCTCTCAACCCCAGCTACCGCCTCTCAATGATCCAGAAGTGGTACCCCTCAGCCTTCCCCCGCGCACAATCCCTTCTGGAAGCCCAATTCCAACAACGCAAACAGGCCCTCAATGACCAGGCAGCAAGAGATGAAGACAACCCGCCACCCGAAAAGAACACAACCCTGCCCCCTGGTGGTGGACTTGAGGAAGATGTCGACTTCTTTTCCGATGCTGCGCCAGAGACCTACGACAAACTGGCAGCGTACCTTGGGGGTAAGTATTGGCTGCCCTCTTCACAGGCAGCTGATTGCTTAACTTGGTGGAAGGTGGGTTCAAACATTTCATATTTCAGGTTCTGAGTTTGTCATAAGAATCTGATTATTATTTTTTTCGATGAAATACAGCAATATTCAACAGAATTTCCAGTGGTGGCACTACTGGCCCGAGACTTCCTGGCCACGAGTGCTACGTCTGCAAGTGTGGAGCAATGTTTTTCAGCCGCGGCGGACGTTTGCGGGCAAGATCGAGGCAACTTAGCTGCCAAAACAATCGAAAGATGTGTAAGTTCCCACCAATGGATCACTCAAGGGGTAAAGCCTGATGGCCCATTCCAGGCGGCCCAGGACATAATCTCTGCTACTCAGGCAGAATTGGAAGCAGCCAAGACAACAAAAAAACCTGTCGCTTTGAACTCCAGTGTCAAAGGTTAATTTCACTATATCCAAAATTTTTTTTTTCCCCTATAATCACAGCCTCTGCTATCTAGGCTCTACCAACCCCCACTCAGTCTCCCAAATTTCATTTCACTCCACTTGAAAAAAATCCCTTGATCTTTACATTAAGTATGAAAATTATAAATAGCGATGAAAAAAAAATCTCAGGCTCTCCATTTTTAGCTTTAAAAATTTACATTCCAATTTTTATTTTCATAAAAGTTAAAAATTAAAAAAAAAAATCATGTACATATAATAATATAAATGCCCAAACTTTTTCTTATACCCAAAAAAACTGCCTTTTGAAATGATCCCACAGATACCGGATCGGTATTGGATTGGTATCGCGATGCGATACCGATCCCTAACCCTGCAATACTGCCTGCTGCGATCCGATACTCTGGGTATTGGATCGGGTGGGCGATCCAATACCCCTTTTTTCGATACCTGGTAACGAAAAATTGATCCAATCCGATAAATTGGCCGATACCGTATTGGATCGGATCTGTTACATCGTTGCCCAGAGCAATCCTCTAATTACCATTAATTTAAAGTGACTGGGATGAAGATTCATAACAAGAAGAATCCCTCATTGACAAGTCAAACCAACAATCAATAGAAGGACATCTCTTATTACCATCAATCAAAATGAAAATGAGAGAGATACCTCTAGATGAATTGTTTCTGGATGGTGAACCAGCAATTGTTCCTGACATGCATTGTGGTTGATTCAACATCAGTGGCATTCAAAGTTGACTTTTAAACTGCATTCTAAATGTTATCATAATCTCAAGATGTTTGATTGTTAACTATTATGAAACTTCAGATTCATTGTTTTAGAACATTTCTCATATATTCTGTGAACATTATGAATTTGTATATAATAGTGTTCAAAAATTAATTTTGAAACACCCTATCATATGTAGACAATCAAGCCCCAAGATTATCAATAGCTCTGACCTTCTGATCATCTGCTATAGAGACACTCTCATATTAAATGTGATACTTACTGGATGAAGCAAGGTTGAACCATTTACAATCTCAACTCTCTGCATGTTTTTTTTCACTCAAGTGTCATACATGATACTGATACTGCAGGGAAAAGCACAACTCAGGGTTGTGTTTCACATATTTGAGGTAGAATCAAAAATCATTGTTGGTTCACATATTTTAAGGTAAACCCAGTAAGTATTTTAGGTTCATTTGAGTCTAAGAATCATTATTTGTTAACATATTTGAGGTAAAACCAAGAAAATGGCACTAGTGTTTGGTATGATCCTCTCAAAAATACCCTTGATCAATTAATAGCCAAGATAAAGAGAAATTTAAATATCTAACCAGATAAAAGCAGTCTTATCTGTGAATTACATAGCCTAATAAATTTGACTTAAGAACCAATGCTTGAAATAACTTTGAACCAAGCAGAGATCCTAATTTTTTTAGTCCAGGATGGAGTGCCTGGATTTGAATTTTCAGAACCCACACATTTGATAGTCTAATTACAACTTTTTTTTTAAAAACAATAACTACACTGTCTGCAAGAAAATTAGAAAGAATATTACATGGAAACAACATATACAAACATTGAACTGATCAAATCAATCTAAAGAATGTCAATCTGTATAATTGTTTTAGCAAGAAGGATAATCCAGCTGCTTAAGATGGAGTGATTGAAGCAACATGCTTTTAATACTTATTTCACAGATATTATGTCCACATGAATCTGCAAACTCATGCTTGCCCTCTTTTATTAATATTTTTGGGGATTCATTGTTGCTGAGGGCAGCAGGGTAACAAGAAAAACCCGTTGTTGAAAATCGAACAACTATGACGTATCTAGCAGGCCCGGCGTGCAGAAAGAAATGGCTGATTCACTAAATGTAACTTTTACTTGAAGCTCGTGCGTTGTTTATCTCGTGGACGATAAAACTTGGGGTCTTAGGAGTCAGTTGGTTGGGTGAAGTTTCTACTGCATGCCCTCCAGGCGCATGACGACGTGTTGTCCACTCTGTGTGGTTGCAGGTAGAATGTAAGTCGAGCACTCTCTGGATAACTAGAGTGGCCTAAATCGTGGTAAAATAGATTATTTTCTAACTTACTAATTTTCCAACAAAAACACCTTCGTATTCGGATGAATCCTCGCAAGGAGTGGCCAATGGTAAGTCTATCGCAGCGCAATAGTCATCGATTTGCTACAGTTGGCGAAAGGCAAGCATAAAATCTATAGTTAAGCTTTCACAGATCCAGAGAGCGCCGCGTTATTTGAAGAGAAGGAGAGAAGACCTACTAGCATCGCTTCTAAGAGCTGTTCAACCGAGGCAAGTTTGACTTCTCCGGAATCACTGTTTTTTTTTTTTTGAAACCAAGCGAGCAATTAGAAGACGACTCAAGTTATCAATAGCCAGATAAAATAAGAATGATGAAAATCATGATAGATTCAGACGCACGTCCAGAAGGTAACCTTGCAAGGATGGGTTCCATCGGTGAAAGACCGGACGTCTGGGCGTTATCACTTTGAGCTTGCCAGCTTTCCAACCCGGCGAATCGTAGCTTCACAAACACGACTCAAGCCCCCACCAACACAACTATGAAAGATGCCATGCGGAATAGCGCGGCGTCGGAGGGATTGGGCATTCAAATGTCGGATAGCTCTGGATTCCAAGCGAGGTGCGATTTCAGGGTCCAAATTGTCAATGACTCTAGCTTCCAAGCGTTGATTGGAAACAATCGAGATTATTGAATAAGAGAAAGCCAATAGGTAGTGTAGCGTAATCTTCATCTTCGTAGTTCAATGTGTGTCTGGCTGGTGGTAGGCGAAATGTTGTGACGCGAATAATCTATTAGTGTGAAGAAAAAAAAGATACTTTTCCCTCAAGGACAGCTCATACACGGGGGTGAAGAATTAAGGAATTTTCTAAGGAATCGGTCCCCTTTTTGACCGCCAGCGTCACTATCACAAGTTAACAGGTCACCGTTCTATGTTGTTGGCATTCGCAAAATGAGAAAAGTTCATCACCTTGGATCGGTGAGTGACCGGCGACCGACGCTTAGGAATTAGAGCCCAATCAACAACCGACATTCAAACATTTTTAAACCGAGGTCGTTCTTCGTTGCATTCTTAGAGTGCACTGCAACTGACGAAATTTGTAACCAACTACAAGAAAAAAAATTATCAACTACAAGAAAAAAAAAATAAGTTGCTTGTTCCACGAACAAAACTGGTAGCTTGGATGCTGGAGGACTTTGTACCACGGTGGGAAGAGTTGCTTGGTTGAAGCATCATCACTTGAGGTCGATTCACGGCCGAAAGACCACACACGCACAACTTGAACATCTCGTCGATAGCTGGGGTACAGTCACTTGGGAGACAAGATGGGGCATTATCCCTATCTTACTACCAAGATCATCGTCTAATCCATCCAGATACAGTGAAACCTGTCTAAGGGCATACCTGTCTAAAGTAAGGGCATACCCTTCTGTGGAACTAAACTGTCTGAAGGCATAGTGAATGGCTTCTCCCAAACATCTATTTCACTGCAAACCCACTGATGAAATTTTAACCGGAGAGGCGGAGAAATTTCTTTGAAGAGAAAAAATTTTTGGGCAACAAAAAGTGACTTTTTGTCGGAAAGACTCAAGGGTCGGAAAAAGAGGGTAAGAGCCAATGATTTTTATTTGCTTAGTAGAGCCTACGCGTTAAATAGACTACGTACATCAAGTTCAACCTGTGGTTCTGAGGGAAAAATGAATATCATAATGAATAACAAAAAAATCAACAAATTCTTGACTAGATGACTGGAGTAAATGACTATTGATAAAGACTAGACCAGGGTTTGAAGACTACAAGGATTGCAGCACTAGACAACAGGACAAGATACCACACAGAAACTAACAACAATTGTATGATAATTTGTATTCTATTATTTAATCATTACTAGGGTTTCAGGGCGGCTCCGCCGCCCCTCATCATAATGCCTTAGTTCAGCTCCTTCCTCAATACCACCTTAACTCGACCTACGTTATTCCGTCACACAACCTCTCCAAACGCACCACTCAACCTATCCTCTGAGATAAACTCAAAATGACCCTTGTTATTTCAGTTCAGGGCACACTTTCAAAGGCCATAAGTAATACCCTTCCTAAAACATATGTGCTCTATTTTTTTATCTTCATGCCTAATGTTAAGAACCGTGACATTATTTTCCATTAATCTTGTCCAATCTCTCCAACCCTTCCTGTTAAGATTGTGCATACCCACAAAAATTACAAATCAACTCCAGAACCAATACACGACTACCAAAACAATCACTTCAACCCTCAATGTTGTGTCTTCCCTTGTATTTGCCATCACCCTCCCGCTGAAATACACCCGCGCGCTAGGGTTAAGTTACCCCCCTCTCCGATTCTGTCACTTTCTCTCAGGCTTAATCTGACCAGTGATCCCTTTAAAACGTTTGGTTCATCAGTTTACTGACAAATTAATACAAAAAGTGCATAGAGTTAATTACCTCGTCCCTTTCTCTTATCCCTCTGATTAAAGGCCTGTCCGTCCCTACAACAACAACACCTAATCCTGAGATTTGTAGTCCATAACTGAGGAAGGTTAAAAACAATGCCAGTGGATGCAATGATACTCTTGTCATCGTCACATTTATCCCTAATGTACCCCTTGCCCGCTCCCGAGTTCAAGTCCCCACATACGCTATATAGATCCTTGAGCTAGTCTCAAACATTCAATGATTGATCCTGCAAAATATTAAAATGTAAGGCGGTGCTCGTCGAGGCCTATGCCTATTTCCTGTGCCGGGTCGCTCCACCCCCAAAACATGGTATATTAAAGTGCCCCCAGCCCCCTCGTTTATGGCGCCAGTGATCCTTTTTCATCCGCGAACGTTCATATTGATTGATTCTACAAGCTTTAAATGAGTTTCCAAAACCGACTGAAATCCAAGCCTTGATTACTGATCCAGAAGGTTTCTACCAGATTAAAACTGACCAACTACGCCAACATCTAGTCCTGTTACTAAAATAAGACTAAGTCTCCACTATTGTATAACACGTGTAAGGAACCTAATTGCCCACCTATTAGACATAGTTCTTTTGATCCCCAGAAACACTGTAGAGACATTATCTTCTTTATTCTTTTAGCTTAATGTCTGCTATTTAACCTTGGCTGATATAATAAGTCCGGTTACTCCCATGACTATTGCCATCATCCTTGGGAGACCATAACTTCTGGTCCTTATCATATTTGTTGTCATCTGAAATCAACCATATTAATTTAATACTTGATCCTCTGTCAAACCCGGGTGCAAGGAACAAAAACGCTTGGCTTCAGGTGATGTTGATCCTCTGTCAAACCTGCGCGCGAGGAACAAAAACCCTTGGCTTCAGGTGATGTGAAATGTAATGCTCCAATTTGGAAGACAAAGATTTCGGGAGAAAATCTGGATAACTGTGAATAGTAAATAGGGTTTGATGAATTATAGACCGGAAACAGTAAATAATGAAGTACAGGTGTGTCATATTGTAGACCGGAAGAGGAAAAATAGAGGGTGGGGGGCCGGAAGAGGGAAGCGTGGAGGGGTGGGGGGAGAAGAGTGTAGAGTATAAAAAGGATGGGTCTAGGCGGTGGATTTGTCCTCCATCGGTTGGCTTTTGCTCGGCTCTATCGCCATTAAGCCACCGGTCCAGGCGTGAGCCTGATAGGCAGTTTGATGGATGGTCTATGACCATCGGGGAGGGTGGTCAAGCCATCGGGGGATAAGGAGCGGGGGGTGCTGGGTTTAATAGTAAACTCTTAATCACTTATAAGAATAAACAAAAAAGGATTTTTAGGGATGAGGAGAGAGAGAGAGAGACAAAATTTCCAACACCCCTCTCCCTCATAATCTTTTCAATGTCATACTAAAAGCCTTCTACCAAAGGAGAATCCCCTAAGACAGGTTTGGCTGTACTCGTATTCACTTGGATGCGCAATAGTAAATCCATATAACCCCCCCCCCCCAAAAAAAAAGGAAAAAAATTGCAAAATGAAAAAACGGTACTCAATGTTATAACTTAGTGACATTAAAAGAGAATTTTGACAAGGGTCCTCCTGCTCAAATTTTACTCATTATTCTTTATGACGCAGCTGTGAATGCCTCCAACAAGGGTTTTACCACAGTCTCAACTGTGGATTGTAATTGCCAAAGGAATCCTTCAAATTCCGGGAAAATCTTGTCTTCTAAGTACATCCAAGGGCTTAACCAAAAGATTAAGTAATTTGCATTGATGGCTGGAAGGCTTGATCCAGTTTGTTTACAAAACTGTTGTCAGTTGGTATTATGTATCTCAATTGTAGATGATGTGTCATTTTGTGGAAATATTGATATGTACACTTCATATGTCAGTGACAACAAAAGAAGCTTTTTTCAGCAAGGGTGGATTCTGATCAAGTACCAAAGGGAGTGGTTCAAATGCCTCTTTCATACTAAGTAACCAGCCCAAACCAGCCAAAAGAAAATGAAATACACATACATGTTTCTGGCATTCCACAGAGCTTCCTTCAAAAGCTGGCTACACCACTGGGGGACATCACACAAAGAAACATCCCAGGTGTGATTGGCATCCATTAAAAGGAGAGAGACACCCTCACAACAGCCTTACAAAAGGAGGCTATTTTCATTTACAGCCAAACCAAGAAAGCTTGCGGTCTTGGTTGGCAGAATTTCTAATACAGCTACAACAAGAAAGCTTGCGGGCTCCGAGGTCAGTAAATAAAAAAAAAATAAAAAAAATCTACCAACTACAGTTGGAAGGTTTGGAAGAATACAGGTCCATGTATCTATGCATTATGTTGGGTGAAATTTGCTATCTTTTTGTTCACTCATTTTCAGGTAATGAGAGTAACACCATCAGAATCCTGATGCAAAGTTCAGTCCACCCACCTAACAACCTTGGCATGAGCTACAACTGAGCTTCCTCAATGGGGGCCAGTCAGGTCCCATTGGTGCCGCTGGCAGGTGTATGGCAACCTGAACTCTGGTCTGTATTCTTCCAAACATTCCGACTGCAGCTGATGTTTTTTTTTGGATTTTCTGACTTCCGAGCTCTTCCAAGCCCACAAGCTTTCTTGTTATGGCTGTAAAATAAAAGATACCATTGACTGGAGTCAGAAGGTTTGGAAGAATACATCAAGTGTACAGATTTCAAAATGCTCACCAGCATCAGCAATGGGACATGGCCAGCCACTGTGCTGGGGGGGGGGGGGGGGGAGGTGGGGGGTGAGGTAAGGGGAGCAATGCATTGGGGAGGCGCAAGACCCAGATTGCCATCAGGATTCTGATGGTCTTCCCCTCATGAGCTGGAATTAAGGGATAAAAAAGATAGCAAAAAAAAATCAAAAGCAAAGCCTGAATGCAAGTGGGCATACAGAGTGGTGTAGTCTTCCAAACATTCCAGCTTTGGATTTTTTTTCTTTTTTTTTTTGCCAACCAAGACCACAAGCTTTGTCTCAATTTGGCTGTATTTTCAGGACCTGGGACGGCCTTGGGGTGATGCCATTCCAGGGCTGGATCTGAAATCCCCAATTGCCACTGCGGTGTACAGGAGCAAAGCCTTTTTGAGATGCACACCCTGGCAACAGAAAGTTGGAAAGGATAGTGTGTCATTTCAACCAGAAAGAGAAAGAAACAAGAGAGGGAAGAAAAAGGACAAAGATGGAGACAGAACGTTGGACAGGATGAAGAAAAAAACAAGATCAAATCCTATCCACTTTCTGTCCCGGTATATAAACTAGATGAGAAATAGACCAGATGTCTCAGAGCGTGACATGTGAGATGGAAGGGAGGAAGCACACAGACAAAAAGGGAAACAAAGAAACTAGATTGGGCTTGGACACAGCTGGCTACATGGGGCTGGGGTCAATAGCACACATCATCCCCATCATCCTTTATCTCTGTAAACCATATTCAACGTACACAAATCATCCAAATTGGATTATCCTTGGCCCTGCTCTGCTGTTGCACTTAGTACACTTCTTCAATACCACTCAAGAATAGGGTTGACTATGCGGCCAATCTTTTTTCTGTAAGATGCTTACTTAGTTGATCCAAATTACAAAAAGAACTCCTTGAATTTTTTTTGAGAATTGAGCGGTACATAATCCAAATCAGGGGCTTATGTAATCAAAGCTTGGCAGGGATCAAGAAGTTGTGAGCAGACTCTGGTGTGCCAAAAATGACTTAATGTTTAAGTTTTGAAACCCTCTATTTGACTGCACAAACTGTCAATTGATGTTGACAATTAACACTCATTTGCGACTGGTTTCCTTGGTTCTTGTTTCCATAACTAGTTGAAGCAATCAGATTCAACCATAACATGATTATCATTATTATCTTATAATTTTGAATCAAGAAGAACCAGAAACACAGATGAGAAACAAACAATGAGAAAGCATAAATAGAGCAGAATGAGTTGCTTAGAAGGGAGGCACAAGAGGATAGATGAGAGGTTGATCAGAAGGAAAGAGAGAGAGATTCAGAGACAACATGTTTGTAGGAAGCAGAGAGAAAGAGAGCGCGCATCAGAGACAGAGAAAAAAGACGAGAGAAAAACAAACAAACAAACAACCCAGTCTATCAAGCGGCTGAACCAAATACTAGGAAAAGAAAAAAGAAATGCATGTACATTATATGCACATATATTCACATCTGTTATTTTTGTTCTGGTGTTGTTGGTAATGCAACAAGGACCTGAGAAAAAGAGAGAGAGAAAAATGAGGGCGGTCAAGTTTAATGGGAAAAAAAGGAAGGTAATGAGGGGAAAAAGGAAGGGTCGTATCGGTCGGATTAGTATAACCGTACGAGATCCTATATTTGACGTTTGATAATTCGACTCATTGACTTTGATGATAAGGGTGTGTTTGCATGTATCCAGGAGCCACTATCTCGAACACGCAACCCAAAGAAAGGAAGACTTCAGGCCCCAATCTACCAAAAAAAGAGAAAAAAAAAACTGGGGAAGGGGGATCAGAAAGATGACAAGAAAAGGAAACAAGACCAACTGACAGATTCATCGAAAAAGAAGCGACAAGAAGATAAATGAACTTGTTCTTCTTTCAAGAGGAACGAGAATGCGTTTTGCGGTGTCTCGCTAGAGAGGACGAATCCGCAAACGATTTGAGACATCCCGGATGCGCACAAGCCAACG